GGCAACAGCTCCAGTGACTTCCACAGGCTCTGCCCCTTTAAAGGTGCCATCATCTCTTAACATTACAATGCCAGGGACCACGCTTTTAATACATCAAAATGCCTTGGGAGTTGAATCACAGCAGCTAACGTAATGTTTTTGTCCCATGTTTTCCAAAGAAATTTCTCTGAAAGTACTCCAACTATTGGCTTCAGGTAATGAACTGAATATTATGGTTTTGTACAGCCTAATTGAGTCAAATAAATGTTTATACATATCTTCTGTGACACCAAAATTATGTCTAAAGGGTAATAACCCCAAAGTAGTTTCTATAGACATTTATAGACTCTACAGTATAACTATCTTTAAAAATTAAAATGGCAACACCTCTGTGAAAATACTTTGTTCTGGTGTATTAAAAAGGATTTATTAATCAAAGTGTTTTTTTCTGGAATATGTATCGAAATGTTTGAGAGGATTTCATTCTAATCAAGCTGGATTATGGGTAAGGGGGAGGTCCTGTGAATTCTTAGTTTGATCCTGGGGATTTGTTTATTTCTTGAAGATTAATACCATTCTATCTTGGTAATCAGTATAAATAATATTGTACCAAAACAAGCTCCAGCATTAACTGGGAACTTAATTTGCTTCACATTCTTATGAAAATGAAATCATGATAGAAACCACAGATTTATGCTGTTTGGATCATGAATACTATCTCAATGTAAATATTATTTTAATATGTACAGTTTTAGTATAGCCAAGCACTTTAAGATAGGAAATAGAGGAAAATCTGAACATTAATCAGTCACTTGGACATTGGGTTGAAGTCCATATGTTAAGGGCTTCTAGTTAAAGGCCTCTTGCTCTGGGATAAGATCTCAAGAAGTATAGCCAAAAAATGAGAATATGGACTAGAATATCATCTTAGAAATACTCAAGCATTATTAGTTTGGGACTGTTGGCATCCTTTAGCATCTAACAGAAGGAAATGAAGCTCCTCTCCTACGAACATGATCCAATGCTTCAAATTATTTCTATAATCAACTTTTCAAAATGAACAAAAGACAATCCAAGATAATGGGTGCAAAAGGAGTCAAGTATGAGTCAGCACCAGCAGACAATAGACAAAAGAAACAGCCTCTAATACACATGCTTGGAAAATACTCTGCTCACTATGCTCACTGAAGAAAAGGCCAAGCTTCTAAATCTTGTCAGACAACTTGGAACTAAGTGATATTTAAGATTTGAAAATGAATGACAAGGAATTATAAACCTAAAATATATAATAAAAGTTAAAAACTATAGGTGAGTTCTGGAGCCGACTAGGCTCACCAAAAGAGAGAATCTTGATACCGAGGTTAAGCAATCCAAAATAAAGACTGGAGACCAGGTAGGAGAGGCCTGATTCTGACTGGAGTTACAGAAATGGAAAAGAGAATAAGGGAAGAAATGATTTGTCAAGACACCATACCCTTAAAATTTCTGAGAATGGATTAAAAATATTAATCTGCAATTTAGGAAGCCCAATGAAATACAAGCAGGATTTTTACAAATAAAAGGTATTTACTTTTGTCTCATCCCAGTATTCAAGGTATTTCTGCCTAACTGTAGAACTGAAATGCCTAGATGGAATGAGTAGCTTTCAGTTGTAGTGTAAGTGGCATTTTGCAATTAGAAAAATATCATTTACAAGGTCTAAGAGCTTTTAAAAATATCCACAGCCTGAAATTATTTTTGTCTAAGCACTGAGGTTGTTAAACAGGGTGATTAAATAAGGACGCGCAGTAACTAGCGAAAGTGTAGCCACTCCTAGTCTACCCAGCCCTCCACAAGCAAACGCACGAACATACATGTTTACGCGAGCACACACACGTACACGCGCGGACACACATAGATCTGCAACGCAGGCACACCCGCACCATGTATGGGCATATAGACGACTACGGAAATGTGATTTCCTGGCCCTTCTCGTTACCTAGAGCTAAAGCTGTAAGTTTTCGAGGAGCGGTCAAACGCACTCTGTATGGGTGGGGTTTCATATCCCCTTTATTAAATTCCGCCCTTCTCCAAAGCCACTTGAGAAATTGAAAATGTTGAGAATGCAGGCGAAAACAGTCCTGTGATTGCCAACCAGCTGACACTGGCAAGGAGGGCCGGTCACGGTCCACAAATCGGGATGTGCGTTTCGTGCCCACTCCTAGCAGGTGCCTAATTAATTTGGTGCCTCAAAGACTGTCAAACCGAGATGGAGCTGAAGGACCTGAAGCGCTCCAGGTCGCCTAAATTTTCCTCGATTCGGGTTTTCCACAAAAGTGTGGTTACGCCAGAAGCTGTCTGCCACAAATACGAAAAGGTTACCGAAACTTTTTTTCCCCATAGGCTCACTTATCCTCCCCCACACCAGACAGTTTATGTTTCTCCGGAGTGAGCTAACTTGGTCTGAACACCAACTGCAAAACAGCAGGAACTAAACAGTCTTATTCCCCTCAGCGACACAAGAGACGAGAAAATACCGTAAATCCTAACCTCATACTCCAGTTTGCCTGGTGCTTAAAAGAAAAAAAAAAAAAAAAAAAAAAAAAAAAAAAAAAAAAAAAAAAAAACCACAAAATTGGCCCGTTGCCGCGCGAAGCATGCTGGGATGAGTAGTTCCCACCGGACACAGGGTTTGAACGCAGCACTGGTTGGCTCCCACAGAGGACTACCATTCCCGCCGTGCCTCGCAGCAGAGTGGGAGGGGCGGGGCGAAAGGAGGCACGTCTTGCTTGCGTAGGTCCAGGAGACAGAGGGAGGGGGAGGCGCAAAGGTCCAAGTGCTAAAGTGTCCATGTGACAGTGAGCGGGATCCCCTCTCCAAGCGCGTCTGGACTCTGGGTCGCGGCCACGCGAGCGTGCACTGCTCCAGCTCCGACACAGACCAGCAGGCCCGGAACTCTTGGTGTTCGGCTGTGCTGCTGCAGAACTTGGGGTAGAGACTGGGTCGCTGTCGCCGGGAAGGATTCCGGGGACCTGGCGGAGAGAGGCGGCACGGTGCGGCGAGCGGGGATTTCTGTCAGTGCCGGCGCTTCTGAGCACCGAGGCATGAACGGCTTCACGCCTGAGGAGATGAGCCGCGGCGGGGATGCGGCCGCCGCCGTGGCCGCAGTGGTTGCAGCTGCTGCCGCTGCTGCCGCCTCGGCTGGGAACGGGAACGGGGCGGGCGCCGGGGCCGACACTCCGGGAGCCGGAGCGGTCTCGGCAGCGGGGCCCCCGGGAGCGGTCGGGCCGGGCCCCGGGCAGCTGTGCTGTTTGCGGGAGGACGGAGAGCGGTGCGGCCGGGCGGCCGGCAATGCCAGCTTCAGCAAGAGGATCCAGAAGAGCATCTCCCAGAAGAAGGTGAAGATCGAGCTGGACAAGAGCGTAAGTGCGCCGGGACAGCCCCTCCCCGCCCGCCCCCGCAGAGCTCTAGCAGCTGGGCAAAGCCAGGCGTCGTTGGCGGGACTCAGGTGCTCCCCAGCCCCAGCAGCTGTGCAGACTCCTCGTGAGTTCTTTGGTGTTTTGCAAATAACAGAATCGCAGCAACTCCGACCGCCGCCCCCAGCGCTTGCAAACGCCATGGTTCTCATCCTCTCCCCCGCCCCCGACCCCGCTGCCCCAGTCTTTCTTGCACACTCTTCCTTCTTCCTTCTTTGCTGCGATCCGCAAACTGAACAAAGGAGATCGCCCGCCGCACCGAAGGCCTGGAGTAGTTTTCTTGTAGCCCGTCAGCCCCTTCTGGAATGGAGGCGCCTTTGTTTTGCTGCTGGAGCTGTTTGTTGGCCCTTGGGAGTAATAGCTCCTCAGGTCTGGGGAAAGTGGAGTCCTGCAGGATCTTTCACTGCAGTCTGGGAAGATTCTGTTCTTTTCCGTGTTTTGTCTCCTCCCAAACAGAGAAAGAGGGAAGCCGAGCTCACTGCCGATTTGCAGGGCGCCAAGTGCTACAGTGTTCACCGTGTCGGCTTTTAGGGCAGCTGCTGCAGGCTTGGGGAGCACGTAAGCCCCTGCGGCTTTGCAGTCCGCGCGGCAGCCATCAGGATTTCTTTTTCCGTCTTTTGCACGGCTTTTTTGGTTTTTTTTTTTTTTTTTTTTTTTTTTTTTTTTTGGATCATCTGTAGGGTTTTAAAAAGAACCCTAGCTACTTTTTGGATCTCTGGCTGGTAGCGAATGAATAACAAGATATACAACCTAGAATACGTTCTGCATTAAAAAAGCCTATTAGGCCAGCCCTTGTTTGTATTTTTAAAAGGGGCTGTCAGCATATGTAACCCAATATTTAATGTCACTGTAAAGCTCTTGGGAGTATATGCAAAGTTTTTTGCTTTGTGTTTGGTTTTTAAAGTTTGTGACAATTTGCTTGTTTAAGCTATTCATTGTTGCTCACGAGAAACTTTTCAGGTGGACATGAATAATTTCAGACTGAATTATTGGAAAATGCATTACAGATAAATACATTCACTTAGTGATGTGAAAAATTAGTAACTGAAATTTAAATATAGTTGGAATATAAATTCAGTAGATCACTTGTAAACGTGGAGTTTATTCCAGGAATACATTTGAGTATTAAATTAGAAAGCATACAATACTAAAACTTTCTAAAATATTTCTTTAGAGAAAATACTGTGAAATAGCATAATTGTGGGCGACATTATCATTTCCCCTTGTCAGGTAAAAGCCTAGCGTGAACTAATTAAGGTCACCCTCTCTGCAACAGGATGAAAAACCTAGAGGATTGGAATTTCTCTTTCTCCTCCTCTGAGTTCCTCCCCTAGCAGGTACCACCCCTTCCTCGAATGCCCCGCCCACCCTACCCTCAGCTCTGTCCCCAGACAGCTTGCGTTTTAACTGGGTGTAGAATTTTGAATAGGAAGAAACATGCCATTGTTTTAACTATATCCTGCTTTGACTTTATTTTTCATAATTCACTGGGACCTACGCATTTTACTAGTAAAAAGACACATTTTTACTGAAATCATAAGCAATCTGTACAACTTTTTGTTTCAGGCAAGGCATCTTTACATCTGTGATTATCATAAAAACTTAATTCAGAGTGTTCGAAACAGAAGAAAGAGAAAAGGCAGTGATGATGATGGTGGTGATTCACCTGTTCAAGATATCGATACCCCAGAGGTAGATGAACACTTCTGTATGTTACATGGAAATCATAAGTTTTCCATTCTGAGACTGTTATAAAAAGGTAGCAACAGGTATTTTTTGAATGTTTAAAACATCTGATAAATTTGAAAATGAAAGTGAACTTTATATGTATTCAGTTAATAATCACAATTTCAATTGATACATTCATTTATACAATTTGAGTATTGCAATTTGAATTATGGTCCTGAGTGCTGTGATGCATGCTGTAATCTCAGCACTTGAGGCTGAGACAAGAAGAGTGCCCCAATTTGAGGCTAGCTTGGGCTATGAGTTCCAAATCAGCCTAAACTACTTAGTGAGACCCTGTCTCAAAAAAAGAAAAAAAAATCAAGTAGTTTCAGTTTTTAAAATTTGTATTCTTTAGGTCTGTTGTCATATAACTTCCTTGTTTTTGCCTAGCTTATAATTGCTCACAAAAATTTAAAATTTTTAATAATTTATAGATTTCATTGTATAAGACTTTTTGAACAGTGAAATGTTTTATTTTGCTGAAATTGAAATGTCCACTATTATACATAGCTGACAAAGTTTCAACAAATTATGTGAACTGATTCATACATGTTGATATTTTCTAGGTTGATTTATACCAATTACAAGTAAATACACTTAGGAGATACAAGAGACACTTCAAGCTACCAACCAGACCAGGACTGAATAAAGCACAACTTGTTGAGGTAAATATGAGTTTTAAGCCTGTTAATCTTTAAATGAAGTTGTTCACACAAACAAGAAATCATTAGGTGCTAATAAAATTATTAAAGTAGTATATAAACAATACATTTTAATTAAAAAAAATAAAAATGGCATAAGCCTATAATATCAGCCTTGGAGAGGCTGAGACAGGAGGATCACAAGTTTGAGCCTAGTCTGGACATTAGGGACTTACTACAACTCTGTTTCAAAACAAAAAATAAAAAGGGGATGGGGATGTGGGCCTGAGGCTCAATCTCAAGTATGCCAAAAAAAGGAAAAAACAGAAGAAAAGAAAATCTGTTGAAGAATCTAGTTGCCTTCCAACATTCATCTACCACTTAGCAGATTTCTTTATATAATGACTACTTAATGGATTATATTTAAATCATGTATAGCATCTTCTAAGAATAGTTTTCAAAATGTTGAAATTCCATTTATTTAGTAAATATTTATTGAATACCTTATAGCCTTAATGTCTTTATTAGAATTTTTTAAGTTTCTGCTAGAATAGGTGTATAAAAGTATTTTCATATGCAAACTTTTACTTACATTCTGCTTTCATATAAGACTTGTGGTCCTTTGTTTAGTTTTGAAAATTTAACTTGTTGTGTATATGTGTGTTTTCAGAAAGTAAAGGAACCAAAAACATATCTGTACATGTTATTAGGATGCTTACAGATTTGTGTATTTGTATGTTAATCATACTTTAAAAGGTTAACTTACTGTACACAATAGAAATGTGAATATATAGTTTTCTCATATTTTTCAAAAATGTACATATAAAATAAGATAAAAGATAGTTGGTGAGGTGGCACATACTTGTAATCCGAGGACTCAGGAGGCTGAGACTAGAAGATCAGAAATTTAAGACCAGCCAGAAGTATATAGCAAGTTCAAGCCTGACTCAAACTACATAGTGAGTCCAAAAAATAAATAAATAGAAGTTATAGTCTTTTGGCAGAATGCTCCATAACATTGTTAATACCCAATGTATTCTTCAGCCAGAATTTCTTTTCTGTTTCTCGCCTGTGTAAATTTAAAGAAAAGTTTTCTTCAAATTTGATTTAAAAGACCTGGTCCTTTTTGAATTATACACCATGTGAATACATATTGCCTACCGTGATGAAATGTATCAAACACTACTGGAGGTAAATCACCTTTGCTTTCCAATAAATGAGCATCAACTGATTATTTTAAATGAAAACCAGTGTATTATTCTCAAGACTTTTTTCCTTTTCAGTACTAGGGATTGAGCCTAGAACCTTCACACTGAGCTACATTTATAATCCTTTTTATTTTTATTTGCTTATTTATTTTTAAATTTTGAGACAGAGTCTCACTAAATCGCTCAGTTGCCCACACTGGGCTCAAATTTGCTATCTTTCTGTCTTCAAAGAATGCTGGGCTTATAAAGATGTGTGCCACCATGCCCAACTCCTGCAGCAGTTTGTTTGTTTGTTTCTTTCTTTCTTTCTTTTTTATATAAATATAGACTTGACATGCACATTTACTCTTCTTTTTTTTAACTCTTATTCTGTTGTCAGTGCATCTGTTAGATTAGCACAATGAGAAGACAAGGAAGCACCTGGGCATGGGGTACACACCTGTAATTCCTGCACTGTGGGAGTGTCTAGCCAAGCCTGGACAATTTAGCTGCTTAGCAAGATTGTCTTAGGAGGACAAAAACAAAAAAAGCTGGGGTGTAGCTCAGTGGGAATGCCTTAGATTCAATCCTAAGTATTAAAGAAATGACAGAGAAGTAATTAAATAGTCTTAAAGTTTCCAATGAATCCTCCCTGTCTTTTTCTTTTCATTTTTCCATTCATAATTTTTATTCTGAAAAAATTCCAGTGAGCCTTTACCAAGAATACTGCCATTGATCAGTGAATGGTTATAATTTATAGCAAAAATATTTATATTTCATGGTTTGTTTCTTTGGTATCAAAACGTTTTCAACTTCATATTTATTCTTCCTAGTACTATGCATGTGGACCCTTCTGTTTTAGTGCACTGATATTTAAAGCTTAAAAGTAAAAATACTCCTTTGCAATCTAGATCCAGTTGTAAAATTTAAAATAAAAGGAGACATGCATCTAATCAGTGTATATTTAGTTCAGTGGGCCAAAGGGTACTTTGAAATCAAACCGTTGTTTGTTTAAAACATCTTTTGTTCTTATGTCCTTTTTGTCCTGTTGGTGTTTTGTTAATTTTGTTCATTAAATGAAATTAAATTCATAAAAGAAATGCCTCTTATCACACAGCACTTTTAAAGAAGTAGTATCTCTTACTTAGTGTTTGCAATTTGTTATATCAAAAATTTAATTTCCTCAATTTTTTTTTCTTTATAGATAGTTGGTTGCCACTTTAGGTCTATTCCAGTGAATGAAAAAGACACCTTAACTTATTTCATCTACTCAGTGAAGAATGACAAGAGCAAATCAGATCTCAAGGTTGATAGTGGTGTTCACTAGGGGTGCCGTAGAGACTGGTGCTTGGATGTTAAGACTGTTGACTGGTTTTCACATGTAGAAATGTTCCTTGTGTATTTTTTCTACAGAGGATCTTCTCTGGTTTTATTTTCTTTGTTTCTGACCCTAATAATTAGTTGGAAACTCATGTACAATGAGTTTCCTAGATAAAGAATATTTTAAATAAAGGTTATTACTGTTATAGTTGCTTCAGTGTATTCATTTTGTGGAACTTGATTTTTTTCTTTTCAACTAACTGATTTTTTAGGAATTAGTATTAACAGATTTTAATGTAAAGATCTTCACTTTATAACTCTTTAAATTAACAAATTAAGGAAAATAACAAATGTAACGTGTTTTTTCTGGGGCAATCTGATTTGGAATAAGGATATCCTAAATAATATTATCTTTTAAATCTTTATAGTATTAGAGTTGAAAAGTAGACTTCCCCTGGATGCAACTTCTTTTTAAATTTCTCTTCTTTATTATTGTTACTTGATGAAGTATCAGCAAGCACAAATAATTTATATGCCCACCTCTTTCCAAAGAAGATTTAATGGAATAGCAAAGGTAAATGCTAAAAGTTGAAATAAAAACATAAATAGTTGTTTCTTAAGATTTTTATCCTACTGAAAAGATATTTATATGACATGAAAATAGAAAATAACTGCAGTAATTTTAATTTTTAGTCATGTTCTATGGTGTTTGTATTGTAAATTAAAACTGAATTTTAAGAGTTCTAGATATCTAACAAGCTCTTCATTTAAATTTTGGTTATATGTATGTCTGACTTGATTTTTGTTCCTGTTCTTTCTCCCTTTCTCTTTCTCTCCCTTTCTCTTTCTCTCTCTCTCTTTCCCTCTCTCCTTCCCTTTCTCTCTCCTTCCCTCCCTTTCCCCTCCTCCCTCTTCTTCCTTTTTCTTTTCAGTACTGGGGATTGAACCCAGGACCTTTGCACTGAGCTACATCCCCAGCACTTTTTTTGAATTATTTTCACATCCAGTCTTGATAGGTTTCCCAAACTGCTCAAATTTGTGATGTTCCTGTATCAGCCTCCCAAAGTGCTGATATGCTTCCTTTTATATTTCATTCTGTATCAAGTTTTTTTTTTGCCATTTTTTTAACTTGTACCTTCTCTGAGATTGTATTGCTTAGCTGAATTCTGAAAGCTATAAGTCAAATTTATACTTTTATGACATGAAAAATTACAAAACAGCTCCAGTAAAATGCTTTAGGTAAGACATGAATGAGACCATCAATCTAGCTCAAGGTTTTCAAGTGTAACATTTGAACCTGGTAATTGTTGTAGGAGGCTTTGCAGTGTTGTAGAAAAATTAGCAGAGTTGGTGAAATATACCTGTTAGGTACTAGTAGCTCTCTTTAGGTGTGACAATGAAAAATACATCCCCTGGGGGACAAAACAAACCTACTGGTTGAGAACTGCTGATGTAGTTAAAATACATCTAAAGTACTGGTTCATTAGAAGGTTAATTTGCATATTTTAAAGTTTTCTGATTATGGATGTTTAGGAAATATGGTGAACAGTAAAGCAGCAAGTCTGTTCTTGACGACTTAAAGATATATATACTCTTACTGACATGCAGAAAGACATAATAATTGGTGTTACCTCATTTCTAGTATTCCAGAATTCTCTGTAACAAGTTTTTTTTTAGCTACTTGAAAATGAACCATATGGATGTGTAGTTTATTTCAAGAAAGTTTTATTTGCACATACGTGCTAGATAGATAGGGCTACAACCTAGCCATGTTTCATCTTTTTTTGTTTCCTATGAGAGAAGATCTTGCTAAATTTTCTAAATTGGCCTCAAACTTGATATCCTACTGTCTTGATGACCGAGTAGCTGGGACTACAGTGTACCACCATATCTGGCCACATTTTATATTTTTGCTAATTCTTAAAGACTTCATTTTTAATAAAAATTTGTAGGCTTATCCTGCATATAAAAGTGCTTTTCTTGTGAAAAAAGCTTGAAATTAGTTTTTTTGTCTTTTTTGGTACCAGGGATCGAACTCATGACTGCCTGCTTGCAAGGCAGGTGCTTATGGCGCTGAGCTAAATCCCCAGGCTCCTGAAATTAATTTTTAAAACTATGTTTATGAGCATTGCGTTTAACAGTATTAATATCATAATTTGCATGATAAAGTGTAGTTGTTTAAAATGTAAGTTCCAGGAGGTGGTCATCCAGTGAAATTAGGTAGAAATCTTTTTATTTTATCAGAACCAAAAAATGAGTGATCATCTCTGTAAGAGTCTAGGTTATTTTTAATGTTAGAGTGTAAAGGGAGCAATCCACATAGGATTGCCACTGGAGTAGGAGGAACAAAGTATCCTGGATGTATAGAGGGGCTAAAAACATTAAGTCAGTTATTTGGTTACTAATTTTAAAAGACTAAGGCAAAATTAAAAATTAATGGTTTAAATGTATTTCTCTTAAAAAGAAAGCTCATTATTTCTACATAAAAGGAATTTACAGACTACATAATGATTATAGCATAATTTGGTCGTATTTAGTATATCCTCAGTGTTGTGCACCGTCAGCTCTAATTTTAGAACTTTTTTCATTACTCCACCAAAATAATCATATAGTAACTTGTAATTTGCAGTTTGTTTCTATAGATTTGCCTACTATAAGCAATATAAAGGGAATTACAGTGTACATACAATATATGTCCCTTTATGTATAGCTTCTTTTGCTTGGCGTAATGTTTCAGTGGCTAATCCAAGATGCGCCATATATCTGTACTTTCATTGTATCTATATACCTATAATTTGCATATCCATTCCTCTACTAAGGAATCCTGAATTTCTACCTTTGACTAATAATGCTCGTGTTGACATTTATGTTAAATTTTCTTGTGACTATATATTTTCATTTTCTTAGGTTTCCACTATGCAGTGGAATTATTGTCACATGGTAATTCTGTATTTAACTTTTTGAGAAACCTCTAGACTTTTCCAACTGAATGAACCATTTTACATTCCCACCAGCTATGTCTGAGGGCTACACTTTCTCCACTTTGATCAAATTTTTATTTTCTTTTTTAAAAAATTAAGCCATTGTATTGGATATGAAGTGGTATCTCACTGTAGCTTTGGTTTGTATGTCCCTAAGAATACCATTGAACATCTTTTCGTGTGCTTGCTGGGCTCTTGTATTAAGTACTTTTTAAAAAATTGAGTTGTCTTTTTGATCAAGAGTTTTAAGAGTTCTTTATTCTGCATATTAAACTCATATATGATTTGTAAATATTTCACTCAGTTGCCTTTCACATTTTTATAGTGGTCTCTGATGGACAAAAGTTTTTAATTTTTATGTAGTCCAATTTAACTAGTTTTTCTTTGTTGCTGTACTTTTGGCATTTAACCTAAGAATTCATTGCCAAATCCACCATCATGATTACTGCATATGTTTTCTTCTAGGTGTTTGATAGTTTCTGTTGCTATACAGTGCTTATATTGTTGACCACTGAGCTATAATTTTCATATTGGCTAGGGGTCCAACTTCATCCCTTTGCATGTAGCTAGGTATTCTAGGGTCATTTTTTGAAGAGCTTACTCTTTCTCACTGGATAGTCTTCACATCCTTGTTGAAATCATTTCAGCATAGATGTTGGAATTTATTTCTGTATTCTCAGCTCTATTCTTTTGGTCTATTAGTTTTGATTTTTTCCCCCAGTAGTAGGGATCAAACCCAGGGCTTTGTGCATGCTGGGTAAGCACTGTATCACTGAGCTATATCCCCAGATCTTTTTCTTCTATTTTGAGATAAGTCTTCCTATGCTGCCCAGGCTTAAACCTGCAGTGCTCCTGCCTCAGCCTCCCCAGTACCTGAGATTACAGGTATGTGGTGCTCCACTTGTTACTCTTGTTACAAGTTTTAAATTCAGGAACTCTTGAGTGCTACTGTTTTACTTTTCTTCTTCTTTTTTTTTTTTCTCTTTTCATTTTCTTTTTCTTTTCATGCACACATGTGCGTGCCTGCGTGCGTGCGTGCGTGTGTGTGTGTGTGTTGGTTATTTAGGGTTTCTTGCAGTTCCAGATGAATTTGAGGATTCATTTTTCCCCAAAAAAGTCATTAGAATTTTGGTGGAATTTCATTGAATGTTACACTGCTTTAAGACTGCCATTTTAACAACATTCAGCATTCTAGTCCATGATTATGGGATGTCCCTTTTATTTAGATCTTTAATTTTTTGTTTCCATATTTTGTAGTTGCCAGCATAAAAGTCTGTATCTTCTTTGGTTAAATTTATTCTTTGGTAGTTTGTTCTTGTTGACATTATTGTAAATGGAATTTTCTTGATTTTTTTTCTGGATTTTTAATTAGTAGTGTAGAAACACCTCTAATTTTGTATGTTGTCCCTGAGATTGTGCTGAATTTGTTTATTAGCTCTTGTAGTTTTTGTGGATCCCATGGGATTTCTGCTGTGTCTATAGAATTATGTTATATATAAATAAATATAGCTTTATTTCTTCCAAATCTGAATGACTTATTTATTTTTTATTGTCTAATGCTATGGCTTGAGCTTGTATTCCAGTGTTGAATAGCAGTGGTGAAAGCAAGTATTTTTGGCTTATTCCCTTTAAAAAAATCACACAAGGAATGCAATGTGTACTTATTAGCTATTATAAAATATTTATAATTTATAAAATGATCCATTAATGTTCCTACCTTTCATCCATTACACTAATTGTTTTTGCTCATTCTTTTGGTTTTTCATGATGCTTCCAATTTCTCTAACAATCGTTAACCTAATCCCAGAAAAAATTATTCAAGTAGTCTCTGTGGAGTATAAGTGAAGGGTTTTATCAAGAAGAGATGGCTTATTAGTATTACTGGGGTTTTTTTGTGCTCAGCGACTGACATAGAAAATCAAAAATAAAAGTACAGAAAGCATTCAGAAAGCACTTAGTACATAGGGGCTACCTGAAAAATTTAATTTGTGTCTCATATTCAGAAATGGTTTGCTTTCTTATGAAGAATAGATTAGACGATGCTGTTTAACCAGATAGTGGTTAAGACTAGATGCTAGAGTAAGACTGACTGTATTCAAAAACCTAGCTCTACTATTTATTGACGATACTTTAGAGAAGCTACCTAACTTCTTTAAACTGGCAATTTTGCCCATAGGACAGGGTTATAGAGAATATGTACTTAATTTAGTTATACATAATAGTGTAACAGTAGTACATTTTTAATGAAAGATGCCTTTTTATGACTAAGATCTATGGAAAAATAAAAGATTATTTTTAATAGGATTAAATTAAATTTTGATTTTAAAAGTCTGTTGTCCTGGTCCTGGTCAGAAAAAATTGCATAAGGCAAGTCATATGAACACTCATAGTTTAACATTTCCTTGGCGCTGTAGAATGTAATTGAATTTCATATGGCAGTTGTGTCCAGCTAGGAAAGAATAGAATGATGAAGATTCTGTAATCTGTATAATTTATGAATTAAAGATGGTTTGTTTCAAATAGTGTTTTTATCAAGTTTTGATTGTGGGAGAACAGAAACATTAAAAAGCTATCATTGTCTCCCATGTACCCTCATGATGATGTGCCCCTTATAAATAGAAGTATTACATCGCTAACACTTTCTCCCCCTCAGAGAGAAAACATAAAACAGGTTTATTGATGGTTTTCTTTATATACTTATTTATTCTATGCACCATTTCAGAAAGGACATATGACTTTCCTTATTGAGTTCATTACCAATCTGATTTTATTACCAGCCGCTTCAGTGAGTAAGGCCAATCAAATCACATGCTGTCTTGATAGTAGTAATTGATTGTTTTTATAATTCAGTTTCCTCATACATTTTGTGGGAAGTTGTAATATTGGCAAACACATTCTGACTTGTACTTGTGCAGACTTTAAGAGGAACTGAATTGTGATTACTTCAAAATTGTTTGACCCAGGCCAGTAATACTAACTGGTTATGTTACCAGATACTGCCTTGAAAAGTTCTTCAGAAACACATCGGGGACCTTCAAGGGGTACTTCAATGAAATAGTGGTGTTTCCTGGATTGCCTACATTGTGTATTAGTATTTCTCAAACTTTTCCCCACAATACTTTGTATTGTGCCATATACCTCTTCATACCAAGTTTTACATTATAAATAATTATTTATTTATAATTATGTGTTATTTGCTTTGTTACAACAAAGGTTCCAAGAAGACAAGTATATCTTACTCATTACACATCCCCAAATCTTTATAATGGCTGACATTTACCAAGCATATAATACATTTTTATAACATGACAGAATTTCTGAAATTATTCTGATGGCCACTATGAATCAACATATACTTCTTAAGATATGGAAGCATAGCCCAAAACCATTTCCTCTAAAAGTTGAAAAATATCTTTGAAATCACATATTTTAAGATTTTTAAATTACTTTTAAATTGTTTTTAAATTTTACTTTAAAATTTTTTTAAATTAATTTTAAAATTTATGTGACTCTTTAATCATCAGTTGTTTATCTCAATGTATTGCTATTCTCAAAAAAATTGATACTGCTAAGATAGATAGCCTGGTTTTTATGGACTCAACTGTGTGTAATATACAAGCTTGCAAAGTGTAACTCTTCAAACTCTGCCTTGATTTTTAGTTAATATCTTAAACTTGCCTTAGCACCTGAGAAATGGAGCTAAGAAAGTGCCTCAAAGTTTTTTTTTTCAATTAGTGCATGTTTGCAGTACATAATGTTCACATTCCTTGTGTGGACTTGGGTTTTAATTCCTTTTTTCATGTATTTTTCCCTCCCCCTCATTCTCCCCTCTGTTCATCTCTTTACCCCTTTCCCATTTGAGATCTGTCTCCCTACTTTCTATTAGCTATCCTTTATTTTGTTCATTGTTTGTGATTTGGGTTTTTCATGTAATAGAAACACTGTGATATTTAAACTTTTTCACTTAACATTGTAGTCTTAAGCTGCATCCATTTTCCTACAAATGAGTCAAGTTTTTCTTTATGGCAGAGTAGTATTCCATTGTGTATAAATACTGCATTTTTATATCCATTCATCTGTTAATGGATACATAGGCTGCTTCCACAATATAGCTAATAGCACAATGAAAATTTGTTTAAAGTAATTGTGATATATAATATTTAATTGTTGATTCATCTTTTTTCTTACTAGAAAACTTCCCAGTTTTCATTCTAATAAATTTAATTTTTACCTAGATTTTTCTCATTAAATATGCACAGACAAAACATTTGCCTAACAACCAAACGTGTTCCAATATTTGAGCATGGATTGTGGCCATCCATCTGGGGGGACAGAATTCTTTTACTGTGTGTACTGAGTACCTCATAAATGAAAATTCGCTAGACAAAATTTTAATCAATTATTAATAATGTCCACAGAGAAAAATTAAATTGAATTAACTTTTATTACTATTTAACACAAGTTTACTTGTGCAAGACAAGTAAGACTTTATAGAATTTGTGCTTTATTGCACTGGATAGTCATAGAAATGTAATGACACTGACATAACATGGGAAATCAGGAATGGTGTTCTCTGGAACACATGAAGATTCTCAGTGGTTGTTGCAAGGGATCACAAAAGAGACCTCTGGGCCAAAGAAGATTTCTCTGAAAGAAAGTAGAACATCAGTTAAGTTCAGCTGAAAGCTAAGATGTATGTTAGCTTTTTTTTTTTTTTTTACCGGTACCAGGGATCGAACTCATGACTGCGCTCTTGCAAGACAGGCGCTTATGCTGCTGAGCTAAATTCCCAGCCCCCGTATGTTAGCTTTTGTACATTGGTTTGAAATAGACAGTCATTCCCAGGATTTGAGACACGTATAACTATTCTTTTTAAGGAAATAAAGTACAAAGAGATGAATGGGAGGACTTGACATGAGAGCAACAAAGATCAAGAAGGTAATTTATTCTTTTATTTTCCTTCCTGTTTTCATTTATATACTATCATTTATCTCTAAAGAAAAAGTATGGTAATTTCAAAACTAATAATATATATAAAATTTTACTTTTCTGATACCAGAATGGGCCATGAACTTTTAAATCTGCAAATAAGAAACAAAAATTGAACTGTTCTTAGAAAGTCATTAAATTTCTAGGTTTCATAAAGAAGAAGAAATGTTAAAAAAAAGTTACTCACTTGTCTTCTAGTTACAAAGATGATGTAAGTTAAAATATAAAAATACATAGACTTTTGTAATATAAAGTGTACATATGTGTAAGATGGTGTTATCATTATGGCTTATTAGAAAAACACTTAGCAAAGTGCTACCAGGAAAATGGCATTTCAATATCAAAAAGAAACTGCTTTCATACAGCTACACTTTTATTCAAATCCATGAGCTTAAATAATGACAAAATCAAATCATAAACCAAATACAAGTCTATTTCAGTAAATTGCTTTCAAGTGATGCAACAGTGTTTTCTTATTAATTGACTGATTTTTGAAGTGCAGAAGCAGCTAAGTCATCTCATAGGATTAATTCATCAAGACGTTGGGTATAACTTAGTAAAATGATATTCAAACTGTAGTATGCATCAGTGTCACCTGGAGGGTTTGTTAAACCATTTGCTGAGTCCCACTTCCAGAATTTCCGTGGCATATGGGTGGGGAGCCCGAGGACAGATGCACAGTTTTAAAGGGACTAAGGTAATGATGAGTCTGATCTGGGAACCTCATTTTCAGAATCATCGGACTTGGTGGAAAAAATCTGGTTCAAGTTTGAATACCTGAGTTCTAGATTCAGTGTTGATATTATCCAATTTTGTAGGTTAATACCGTTCCTTTCAAGTTTCTAACATCCTTCCTTGGTAAGATAGCTGCCTTTCCCTCCTTACAGGAAATAAAAAGGCATGTGTAGAAAGTAATTTGAAAAGGTTAATTTCAGTATGAAATGTCCAAAGTCAGTATTTGAAAAAGATTCCTCAATACTCAGAGGAAGACAATTTTAGAATGAAGAGCTAAACATACTTACTGATTTATCTGTCATTGTTTTATATTTAAGATATATCTACGTTCAGAAAATAATTTGAACTTTTATTTTTGGTTGATTCATGAAAGTAGGAAATTTTTCTTTGACCATCATTCAACTTTTCTGTCTAGCTAGTGGTTACTTGATACTTCTAGCATCTTTAAAACTTTATTAGTTTTTAAATTGGTGTAAGATGGCAATCCTGAGGTTCATTTCTGCTATCAATAGATTTTTTTTTGGTACTGAGCACTGAACCCAGGGCTTTCACACTTAAGCATCCTGAACTTTTTTTTTCCATTTTAAGACAGGATTTTTCTTACGTGGCCTAGTCTGGTCTTAAACTTGCTATGCTCCTGTCTTAGACTCCCCAAATACCAGAATTACAAGTGTGTAGCCCCATGCCCAGCTCTAGTACATTTTTTAATAGTGAAAAATCAGATGAGAATTTAAAATTTAATAGATTGATGTGTTACATTTTTTGATTTTTATTTAGCTTTATTAAATTGCTAAACTCCATTTCTTAAAAATACCTAATTCCTCACACAGTGGTGGTTCTAGAAAACAGTTGGGATTTGGATAGAATTTACTTTACTTACAAAGATAGTTGCAGCAAATGCAGTTTGAGGGGGATGTCTTTAAAAGACTTGTTCTACATGTATTTCATAGTGCTACGTTTTATGACTTCATTTCCTTACCTTGGGCAACACAGCAATTCACTGAAATTGCAGTAACAGGTCATCTCACATTCTTTCCCATCCCAGAAATGATCTGGGACATTTACATCAACCTGTGTCAGCTCAGCTACTCCTTCCGGAAGGCTGTGACAGTTGCGATCTTTTAGTATTTTTCTGTAGCAAGACAGGCGATTTGAAGGCATGGCTTGGGCTCCTAGCAGGAAAGTTAGCCCAATGACGACAAGTATCATAAATTTCATTTTGGCTTTTGGCCTGGAGATAAGGGAAAAAACAGAATGGATCAGTCCTTGTTTTTTTAAAAGATATAATTCATGTGACTATAAAATTCTAACATATATCTAAATTCTTGGATAAAAGGAGGTGTGTTTTTATGACCTTCTTTGTGTTTAGTATAAATATTGTTTAGTATAAGTATAAATATTGTATAAGTATAGCTTTCTGACCATCTATGATAAAAATCATTTAGAATATTTGTTAAAAAACCAAATGCTTGAATTCCATCAAAAATTGCCAAATGAGAATCGCAGGGGAAGGATATAGGGGTAAAGAATCTGCATTTAATAAGGTACTAGGTTGTGCGTGTCAATGTGTGTGTGTATATGATTTCTGTGTGTATGTGTGTGTGTGTGTGGGTGTGTGTATGTGTGCCTTCTGTAGAGGACAATTGCTTTCATGAAGGTACTACTCAGGTAAATTAAAAGAACAAATAACATCATTGATATAATGAACCTTGGGATGCAAAATATGGCTCTGTGATAGACCAATTGCCTGGCATGTGTGAAGCCCTCAGTTTGATCTCCAACACTGCAAAGACTGACAGATAAAAAAGAAACTATCAGTCTTTACCTTGTATAGCTTATACCCTAACAATAGTATTGTCAAAGAACAGGCTCCTATCCTAACAGAAATGAAAAACTGATATTAAAAGGTGGTACTCTCTAGATAATATTTATAGTTTTGCTAAGTTTTTTAAATCCTCCAGAATTTCTTTTAGAGCTTATTTGTGCTAGAACTTCTTAATTAAGAATATATTTTATCTATATAAACTATGTCATCTTAGCTATAGTTGAAAATAGCAACTTGAAGTCCTCCTTATAAGCATATCAGTGATGGCGAATATTTTAGAGCTTTCAATGATACAGACAGCCTGCTGAGACACACCTCCCTGGGTTCACCACCACTGATAGCCCGTCCTTGAATACTTGCTGTCATGAAGTAATCAATTATGATTTAAGTCAACACATTCCACTGATATTTTGCTTATTGTAAGATATTTTTCTGTAGCTTTTACCAATCAGTCCTGATGTGATCCCTTGAGTTCAAACTAAAGTATAATTGCTCTTCTAGTAGATATTCAAGTATATCTTTTGCATCCAACTACAGAATATTCATCCTCAACATAATCAAGCTCCTCGGCTTCTGTATTACACATCAAGAAAATGCAGGCTATTTTAGCAAAGGGAGAATAGCAAAGAATACCCAGACATTCGAATTTCATCTTGGTGACAAATGCCAATGTCTTTCCTAGCATGAAAAAAGAGATGAAGGATACTTGTCATTGCATATTGTACTTTGAAAGAAAATACTGTTGAAAAGAAATTTTAGTATGGAGTTTTTGGTGATTAGACATATATCAATAGTAAATCATTTTAGATAAGATTAGACTTTTAAAATAAACACATTTACTATTTTGTTTAAAGAATAAACAATATTCCATTAAAATCCTGAGTTTTATCTTTTCTTCAACTTCATTTTCTAAGCTAGTCATTTTTGACTTTGTTTATATATTTTCTTAAAATTACAACTATCCAATTTATTTTCTACCTTCAAATATTAGAGGACACAAATGAGATCTCTTTCTCTTTTGTATGTTTCCTTAATGGAGCAAGATATTCATTACAATAATATAGTGCATCATAATCTAACATACATGCTCACGCATGAATTATATCTTTTGGTAGGCTTTTGCAGCTAATAGCTTAAATTTCATATTTTAAAATATTCTACCTTCTATTACTTCAGATTGGGGTTTTCTTAACTGCTAAAAGATATATAATGTTAAAAAGCTGCATTGACATTTTTTCAGTTTAATCTTCAAGAAGAGTAAAGATGTTATATATTGAATATTTACTGTGTGGCAGAAATCATCACAACCATTATATTTTTAAAAAATATTTTGGTATACAGCTGAAACCCCACTATATAAGCAAAAATTTTTAATACCTATATTGAGTTAACATTGACATATGATGAAATGCAGATACTTAAACAGTATGAAAAGTTTTCATATGTACATATTCCTGTAAACCCATCCACAATCGAGAGATTAAACATATTTACTATCCCTAAAGTTCCTCATTCGTTTTATAATCTCACCCTCCCTGTCCCCCTTCCTCTATAGGCAACTACTGTTCTGCTTTCTGAAGCCAAAGGCTAATTTTCAAGTACTAGAATTACATATACGTGCAATCACAAAATATGTATTCTTTTATGTGACTTACTACATTCATCTTTCTAATATTGAAATTTATGTACATTGTATGTATCAATAGCTGATTCCTTTTTATTGCTGAGAAGTATTGTGTAGACACTGTAAATTGTCTTTCCATCCAACTGCCAGTGAATATTTAAGTTGTTTATTGTCTTTCCATTTGTGTAGACACAAATATAGACGCTGTAAATTGTCTTCCATCCAACTGTCAGGGGATATTTAAGCTGTTTTCAGTTTGGGCTATTATAAATAAAATTTTGTGAACAGTGTCTAAGTTTTTGCCAGATTATGGTGTTTATAACTCTTGAGTGAATACTTAGCTGGAGAATATAGACATTTTTTGTTTAACTATTGAGCTGCATTCCTGCTACTAGATTATAAATTAAATAATGCATTATATATGGTATGTGCATTGCAATATTAGAACAAAGAAATTGTCAAAGGAAATTCCAACTTGATGACTTTGCTTCTATTTGCATAGGTCTCACATGCACTGCTGTAATGTATAACAGAACATAAAACTACGGTATTGTACTGTTCAGTACAATCAGCAAACAATACAGGACCATATAGACAAGGTGTACTGTACAAAAAAGACATTGAGAATCTATAAATGTAATATATAGAACTACATAAAAGATCATATTATTTATTGAATATGGTGCAGGATACGGGCTCTTTTGTGTGTTTGTTTAGCACCTCATTAAAATACTTATTTCTGCATTTAATCTTTCCTTTTGCCAAATAAATGTTTTCACTAGAGGTGTGAGGTTGTTTCCATATTCTCCATTTTTCCATTGATCTAGTTGTCTATCTTTATGTCAAAATGAGTTTCTAAATCATAATTATTAACACAAATTGTTTTACAAATTAACGAAGCTCACCAAGGGATTTATACTCATGTAACATTACACCTTAATAATATCCATCCTCTCTCCTATTCTTTCTTTTCCTTTTGTTCCCCCTTCTCTTGTTCCCTTTCTTCCAATAGCCCTCTTCTAGTTCAGGTGTTTTCTGTTTCCACATATAAGAGAAGTGTATGCTACTTGTCTTTTGGTGACTGCCTTATTTGATTTAACATGATGCCTTGTAGTTTCATCCACTTTCCTGAAATAACATGGTTTTATGTCTAACTAATGCTCCATTGTGTAAATATAGCATACTTTATCTATTCATCTCTTGTTGGGCACCAAGATTCCATATCCTACCTATTGGGAATGGTGCTCTAATAAGCATGGGCGTGCAATTAACTCTTTTGTACGCCGACTTCATTTCCTTACTGTATGTAAGTAGGAGTGATTGAGCTAAAGACAGCAGTTCTATTTTTAGTCTTTTGAGGACCCTCCATAGTGACTACACAGACTTAAATTCCTTCCTACAGGGTATAGGATATATGAGTTAGTTTACCCCATATCCTTACCACTATTTACAAAACTACTGTTTTGACTGCTGTAACTTCATAATAATTATTGGAATCAGGGAGAATTAGTCTCACAAATTTGGTCTTTTACCATTATTATGGCAATTCTAGGTCTTTTGCATTTCTGGATGAATTTTGATATCCAGTCATCAACTTCTGTAGGAAAAAACCTGCAGGCATTTTGATTGAGATTCCTTGACTGATAATATTACATTTTCTGACTCTAAACATATTTTCTATACATTTGTGCTCACTTATTTATAAATTTGTATTATAATTTTATTTCTTTTTCTATTGTAATAAATACTTATCAAGATTTACATCTTCACAGATTTTTTTCATCTTAACAGATTTTCAAATGTATAACAAGATCAGAATTGCTATCTCTGAATACAAGAATGTATAGCAGGGGCTGGGGATTTAGCTCAGCAGCATAAGCGCCTGCCTTGCAAGCAGGCAGTCATGAGCTCGATCCCTGGTACCAATAAAAAGGAAAAAAAACAAAACAAAACAAAACAAAAAAAAAACAAAAAAGCAAAAAAAGAGATCTCTAGTGCTTATTCCTCTTACACAACTAGTTTATACCTATTGATTAACAGTTCCCATTGCTCCATCACTAGCTTCCAACAATCAATCTTAGATTCTTGATTCTAATGAGTTTTACTATTTTTGATATCCTACTAAATAAAATTTGCAATATTTGTCCTTCAGTGTCCAGTTTATTTCACTTAGTCTAACATCCATCTAGAGAGCAGTGTATTACAGAATATTCTTTATTAATAATAAGTAATATTCCATACTGCTTGTGTATAGTTTATACATACGACTGGTAAGATAAAATCCATTGTATCTATCAATATACATTTAGGTTGTTTTTACATCTTGTCTATTGTGCATAGTGCTCCTGTGAACATGGAGATGCTAGTAGGTCTTTGAGATTCTGGTTTCAGCTCTTTTCAATACATGTATCCAAAATGTAGTACCCTATCATATGGTAGTTCTGTTTTTAAATTTATAAGGAGCCTCTATATTGTCTTCCATCATAGTTGCACCGTTTTACATTCCTATCAACTGGAGTTTTAATTTCTCCACACCCTTGCCAAAACTTGTTGTCTGATTTTGTGGTTTCCATTTGCATTTCCCTGATGATTAGTGATCTTGAAGATCATAGATAGATATAGATATATAGATACATAATTGGTTGACCATTTGGGTGTCTTCTTTGGAGCAATGTCTATTCAAGCCTATGACCCATATTTAAGTCATGATGGTGATGGTGATGATTACTATTATTGCTGTTGAGTTTTAAGAGTTTCTTACATATTTAAAAATTAACCCTTT